GGAACCTACGGAATGTGTGAATAAAAGTAGAGTTTGACATAGCTTATAAGCATTGCCCACATTGCAAAAAAGCATTAATAAAAATGCTTCTTTTACTTCTAGCCAGAAAACTAATTATGTGTTCAAAAATAAAAGGAATGAAGACACCGACCAGTCTTTTTGGAAAAGGAATAACCCTTCTGACTAATATAGGTGCGGGGATTCGGCAACATGTGGTTTCTCAGGTACTCCCTCTCCCCCTGAAAGGCAAAAGTAACAGGATAGTTGAAGCCACTTTTCACTAGAACCAAGATGCAAATGAAAGTGCAACGTAATGTTTGTCGTTCAAGTAAGATTTTATACTCAATACTCTTTTGGTATATTAAGAAACATTACACAACGTAAAAAACACGATATTGTTACAAGTGAAATTATATGTCGTGTGTGACATTCGAATAATACTATTCGCATTTTCTTCTTGTTAGAATATCATAAATTTATAAAATATACCCGTATTACCGTTACAAAGTAGAAAATCTTATTTATGGGGCTACAAGTAATTTTGAAAGATAAGATTGCATGATAATTCACACTATCAACTATTAAGAAAGTAATCTTAACACAATTGAAAAACTATCACATAAGAATAATCTCATAATATTTTCAATTTTGTTAATATTTTATGACTCAATTTCCGTTCGATATTTGAGGATTGGTGGAAAGAGGTGTTAAAAAGGTATGGAAAGTTTTGGAGGGCAAATATTGGGCATTTGGAATCAATTTGGATCGAAAATTCAACGCTCGTTGCTATTGGAAGCGTTGTCGTCGTCATTCGCTTATTGCCCGCATAACGTTCGAGTGCTGCGTGCCACTCACCTAGTGCGAGGCTGCAGCTTCAACGCCTTATATATCTGGGGAAAATTTGTTTCCTTTTTTTATGAGGTTTTGAACCTCTTTACAAACATAATATTTTTTGGGTCCTATATATAGTCAAATTGATTCTTGATTTTCATGTGACTTTGTATGAGTTAGGAATACAATATTTTGTATTTTTTCTCCATTATTAATAAATTATTTGTTCATCTGTCAATCATTTTTTTGTTGTGATTATTATTTCATATTGTACCTTTAATATCTATTTTCTATTTTCAAATGGTATCAACATACATAATTATTGTCAGATTCGAATAGCGTACACAACTCACTTATTTATTGGATTGGAGGGTGGTTAAGTTTGTACAGAAAATATGCTGCCACAATTAGCCCCTGTTTGTCTACCATTAATCTAAAAAATTGTTTGTTACAGTAAGATTCTCCACCACACATTCATCCAATAAAATATTCTAAACATAAATCAATAAAGTTACTTTAAATTTCAACCATATATTCTCTAAAAAATACTATTCACTACCCCATTTTTTTTCAAAAAATGGGAGAGAAGCACACCCTTAATACAGAAGACACTTCGCAGTTTTTTTGTTAGAAAAAAAAAAGATAGGGTTTTCATTTCCAGCTTCATAGTACAGATTGTCATGTCAATAGAATTTAAAGAGTGGGGAGCAGGGTGCCCTAATTGGTACAACAAGGTAAAAGTACAACATATATATTTTATTATTGTCTCTTTATAGCTCCACTAAGTATAGCTTTTGATTTTACACTGAGTTGCATGTCTCCAACTTCCTTAGCTAATGGTAACAATCAGTTTTACAGTGTCGTGAGGATTTTGCCAAGTTGAGCTCATGTGTAAAGTGCTCTATAATACAAAATGCCACTCTATAGTAGTACAAGCTATTTCTAATTACTTTACAATAACCCAACAACAAAATCCCCTCTACATGTTTCAACACTGCACTTTCATTTGCATTACGTTGGAGAATTTTTTTTAAAGGTACACGAAACTCTATTCTGTCACCTTTTAATAGTTTTCCTTAATTGTGTGATTACTGGCTTAGCCCCTGTTTGCTTCCAATGTAAAGCAAAATTTGTACCGTTGCTTGTAATGGTGAGCCACAATATTTGACCATTTTGAGTAACAGTGGACCCCACAATTTTGAAAAAAAAAAGGTCAAAAATAGCCTTTTCTTGTTGAAATAATTGGAAACAAACAGGGGCTTATTCTTTTATTTAAGGTAATTTCTTAAATTATTTTATATTTAGTTTATGTTCTTTAAATAATTCTTGAACTGATGTAAATCCAAAAGGATTTTGCATTTCTCAAGAATAGTAGGCATATTTCCCACTTAATAATATTCAAAGTGCTAGAAAAATTATGTATTTATACCCTTTAGTCATTTATCATGTGTCATGTTCTTTTGCCCTCTACGTATATGGCTTCCATCGATTGAGATGTCGTGTGGACGTTGTTAAAGCCTGGGGACCTGAAGTACCCCAAAATGAAGGTCAATGACATGTTGTGACACAAGTGTAACGGTTTGGGGACCCCTAAAGGGATTTACCCATAATTTTTTTTGGCACGCATGATCTCCAACCTTTCATCTTTGGTGTACCTTAATTCATAATTATAGATCTTCGATGTAAATTTATTTGTATATAAACTGTATCGTCTATGCATGTTAATTCCTAATTATAGGAATTGCCAACTTTTTGTCAAAGCGTCGCTCGTGCGCAATCTATGTTTCAAAAATATTTTCACCGGTTCACTGTTTATTTCATTTTGAAATAACTATAAAAAGAAAAAAAAAATTTAAAATGAACTTTTTAGGATAAAATTGAAACCCAAACAAAAGCAAAGTTGTATTCGTGTTGGCATTGGTCCATAACTAAAAAGAAAACGATAAAGAAGAATTCCTGTATGGTTTGTATCACAATCATTTAATTCAATATCAGTAAAAAGAGTTTCAACAATTAGGATGTCTATCTTTCCAAATACCATTCTGGAAATGAACAAAGTCGTTTTTTGCTTTACGCTAATTACTTGACACCGATATTTGGAAAAGAGGTCGACAATCTTTGAATGCAACCTACGTGACTAGGTCGCACCTTCGAGCACATGAAAGCTAGATTTGTTCACCACGTCCACTACATTTACTACAATTTAATTCCATCCTCGATATAACAAGATAATCTAAGATTGATGCTTATTCACCCCCATGAGGGGGCGAGATTCTTCAATGAACTGATTTAGACAATAATTTGAAAAAGGCTGAATTTCGAACATGCTCAATAAATTACTATTTTTACTTATAAGTAAAAAAATTACTTATTTTAACTTATTATAATTCTAACTAACAAAATAATATTATTTATTTTAAAACTGCTTTATAAATTTCCCCTTTTAGGCTCCATTAAAATGTAATTTTGAAAAAAATTGTATTTTATAATAATGAACTTTTTAGGAATGTGTAGTTAAAATATAAGGAAAATTTATGTAATATTATTTTATGAAATAATGTGTGGTTAAAAATGAGTCTTGAAAAAATGTATGTATTTTGGAAATATTGGAGCTCGGACAATATTTTGGAAGAATTGTAGTTAATGTCCCTAACCTTTTCAGTAAGCACAATGTGGTCTTTAACCTTTAAATTTTTGCACGCCATTTCAAATACATCGTTGAAAGACATTAGGATGGTAAGAGTCCAACAATTCATTAGTTCAACGTGTAAATTGCAATTGCTCGCTCAGCAGAACGACAAAAAAAAGGTCTTCATACCTTTTTCTAATTTGAAAACATTAAAATATTTAATAAACGATAAATAAGAGATAAAAAATAAGATTTTTTTTTCATCATCTCCAACTCCCTCCCACAACCAACCACATCACCCAATGTAATCACACTATCGACTTCGACACCGCATTCACTTCATCCACTTTCCTACACCTCTAAAAACCTTTCCCTACCCATCCTCCATACCACCCCCCAAAATCGAGGGATTTCTTGCCTTTGTCATTTAACAGGAAAATTATGCGGAGAAATCCCCTGGTTTTGCCGACAAGTATGGGAAGAGGCTTTCGTGTTGTTCACTGGTAGGGGTGAGACCACATATTGGGATTCGATGCTAAGAAAGATGAATATTTTCTTTCTTTTAAATTGTTGGGTAATTATATTCACGCCCACTTTTGTGTTAATTATATCACATTTTAATTGTAATGGACGATCTCAACATTTGTTCATTTCTTGATGTCTCCAACTTTTTTATCACATTATTATCAATATTATATTAATTTGTACATTCAGTCCAAAAATTATGTTAGGAATGAGTAAAATGACTTGCCTATTGTATTTTTGAATAAGCAAAATAAAAGACAAAATATTTGCTTTTTCATTTTCATGCACGTTAGCAAAATATTTGAAAAAAAAAAAAAATTCATGTGAAACTCGATATGCTAACTTAATTGAACGTTAATGATAAAAGGTGATGAAAAAATTTGAAGACATAGAACCTACATTACAATTAAAACGGGGTGCAGATAAAAAACTATAGTGTGAATATAATTATCGTCCAAAAACTATTATTTTTTTAAAGGTTTGTATTGGCGCTATCAAAATTTGAAGTTTAGAGATCCAGTTATACTTTTTTAAAAGGTTAGCGACCCCAGCTTGCAATTTTTCCTAAATCTTTTAGCACCATTTACGACAGTCCAAATCAGATCCAGCCCATCTTTGCCTCTGCCAACACCCTATTGAACGGACCACCAAACGCACTTTAGCATCCAGGGGAGCATTTTTTTGTCCCAAAATCCTGGAAAAAACCCCACAATTTTGAATCATTCCTTTGGTTAATTGCAAAGCAAAGAATCACAGGAAGGAATTTCATCGAAACACAGCACTCATAATCACTGTAATGATTATGATTTGATGACCCAACAATGAAATGGATGGAATTGAACTCACACCCACCACCGTTTTCTTCTTTACCTCCACCAACCCAAGATATCTGAGTCAGATTCACTGCCACCAAACGCCGTCGTTTCCATATCAACTACCATGATCAGCACCATTCTTAAACCCCTTTTTAAGTCTCAGCTCCGGTTTAGGTTTACACTTTCCTTCCCGCTTTCCGATGGACGCTGCCGGCTCTCGTCCCGCTGTAGTAATCGATAATGGCACTGGGTACTTATTGATTCTGTTTATCTTCCCTTTTTTTTTTTTAATCCCCACAAGCTGTTCGATGAAATTCCATGTGAAATCTACTTAAATTGGGGCGCTTGAATTATTTTTCTGAAATTTTTTAATCTGGGTTTATTTAATTTCAGGTATACGAAAACGGGTTTCGCAGGAAATGTTGAACCGTCTTTCATACTTCCCACTGTAGTTGCTGTAAATGAGTCATTTGTCAACCAATCGCGAGCCAGTTCTAAAAAGGGCAGCAATTGGTTAGCGCAGCATAGCGCGGGTGTGATGGCGGATCTGGATTTTTATATAGGGGAAGAAGCTTTGACTAGATCTAAATCTAGTAGCACTTATAATTTGAGCTATCCCATTAAGCACGGTCAAGTGGATAATTGGGATGCAATGGAAAGGTTCTGGCAGCAGTGTATATATAATTATTTGCGATGTGATCCAGAGGATCATTACTTTTTGTTGACTGAAAGCCCATTGACTGCGCCGGAAAGTCGGGAATATACAGGAGAGATTATGTTTGAAACTTTTAATGTACCAGGGCTTTATATTGCAGTGCAGCCTGTGCTGGCATTGGCTGCAGGGTACACAACATCCAAGGTTTGGCATTATTTCAGTGTTGAAAATCATATTTTTCAATTTTGTTTCTGCTTTGAGACGTTTTCTGATGGACTTTTTGGGATCTGATTACCTTGTTGTTTGAAGAATTAAATTCAAATGTTAAAGATGGGAAGTTTACATTTGAATATTGTATAATTGCTTGTGGGGACTCCGGAGTTGTCTTAACTTTTATAGAAGCTTATGCAAATTGAACATCGTGGGTATTAATGATAAGATATATGGATTGCCCATTGAGTTGCATATAGATATAGTTCTAATGTATAATGGTGTTTGAATTAGAAATGTCACTTGAAACCATGGACTGGGGCACAGTCGTGCATGCATAAATTTTTAAATTCATTCAAACCAATAATCTCATTAAGACTCTATAAATGTCAAACTTGAAAATTTAGATAAGGATGGGAAATTATTAACTTCAACTCATAAAAGAATAGATATAGGTAGTTGCACCAGTAGACAGAAAATTAATTGAGAGGTGGAGATAGTTTCTTTAAAGACATGGTGGTTAAAAGAGGTGCTTATAGCTGATTGCATGACTAATAACAGATTTGATATTTTACTAGTAATAACAGATAATAGATACCGATGAAGGAATATAAGAGCAATCTCACCTCTGTTGCGTCCTTATTTCTATGCTCCTTCGATTTTGGTTCTCCACCATTTAGTTTCTTTAGCCAAAGGATATTAACATCAGTGCCTCAAGGGATCTTTTGTTTGGAGATACTAAATAGTTCACTGCATAAGAACTCTTAGGCACTCGTATTTTATGTGATCTTCATCTCATCTTTCTAGCCTATGGAGATCAAACTTTGCCAAGTATTGTTATTTCAGTTTGTGAATGAAAATCTATTCATTCAAGCACTTCTGTATGTACTGTACATATATCATATCTGTTGGATTTGGAGATATTAAGTAAATTGATCCTAGTGAGTTAAAGGTCCCAATTATTTTTACAATGCACCAAGTACATGAAGGTTGTTTATTAGCTGTATAGTTCTTTAAGTTTTTCACTGTTCTCCTCCAGAACCGCCTGCCTAATAAAATAAAATGAAAAAGAAGAAACATGGGGAAGTATGTTTGCCTAGTCCCTTAGCTAAGATGTGCACAGTTTCCAAGAATTAATCTTTTCTTTTGATCTTGCTCCATTATGTTCCTTTGTTGTTTGCTAGACACGTGGAATATTATAAGGAGTTAATTTTCCATTCTTGTAATTTAATGAGTTCAGCTATTTTGTTGAAGTAATTTCTTTGTTGTTGACAGCCATTCAGGAGCTTCCAAAATCTAATTATTTATTATTTTATTAAATTGCTTAATTTCTACAGATCAAAAAATGAGATCACAGAACTTAGAACGGACTTTTGTACATGTTCTTATGCTCTGTATCCACAACTCTGTATTGTGACAAAACTATTGTCCTCGCTTTTCTTATAGTTCAATACTTTCTCTTAGTGTGAGATGACAGGAGTAGTAGTGGATGTTGGAGATGGGGCTACTCATGTTGTACCTGTTGCAGATGGTTACGTTATTGGGAGCAGCATTAAGTCGATTCCAGTTGCTGGGAAAGATGTTACTCGCTTCATTCAGCAGCTCATGCGAGTATGTTCTCATAATATTTATGTCTTATAGTTTCTACATAATTATGTCCTTGTTGGAAGGGGAGAAGGTTCTTGGTTGGGGGTGGGGGAAAGAATTCGATGCAGTTATTTATGTAGTTCTTGCTTTTCATTGAAGGAATTCTCTATACAATGTAAGAAAAGAGGAACCATTCTTCATTTTTGAGCCTTACATTCTTTTCCACCTGTCTATACTTTTTACAGAGCTATACAATAATACCTCACATGTTTCAGAACTATGAACTTCACTTGCTACTTCAGTTTCAAGTTTAGTCTAATATTTGAAAGCAAATATTGAAAATTAAAGTAATGAGGTTTCTACGTCATTATCAACAACTTTTTGCTCGGGCAGTGCTCTAATTTGGTGACGTGAAAATCCTTCACATAAGCAATTGAAATGGTATGTTCTTTCTCATATTATTGATTAGACCTTTCCATGACTCATGTAAACTACTCTAAATTAAAAACCTGATGACACCTTCTTTTCCTATTGGCTTCTGAAGTTCATTCTCCCTTTGCTTTAAAACACTTCAACGACTGGTTTCTGGGGAAACATCATTAGGAACAAGATGATTTTCAGATTTGATATGATATTTGTTCAAATGTTTGGACAAAGGATTTTTTTATTTTTAATTTTTTGTGGGACTATGGGGTAAACTATAATGATCTATAATTCCTATTTTTTCCATTCTTACTGACTGACTGTTTTCATATTGTTCCATATAGGAAAGAGGAGAACATATTCCACCTGAGGAGTCCTTGGAAGTAGCCAGGAAAGTGAAGGAAATGTATTGCTATACTTGCTCTGATATTGTAAAGGTAGTAGTTCTACTGACTTTTGACGTCAGAACTGGGGCCAGATGCCCCCCCCACCCCACCCCCCACCTATCCCCCATTCACGCTCTACAGTTTTTGAGAATGAAGAATCTAAAAAAGCATAAATTTGTGTTTCCTTTCGTTCAGATGCATTGGGTGTCTGCTTCCACCATTAGAAGTTTTCAATTTTCTTCTTTTGATTTTACATCTCCATTGTATAAGTAATCTTTCTTCTTCTATTCTCTCAGGAGTTCAATAAACATGACAAAGAGCCAGCAAAATTTGTTAAGCAATGGAGAGGTACTAAGCCAAAGACAGGGGCTCCATATTCTTGTGATATTGGCTATGAACGATTTCTTGGCCCTGAGGTTTGCTTTCCTTTTGGAATCTAAGCTCTTGATTATCGAACAACGTATTTCATTTATTACCACATCTTTTTTCTACAAAGTTGCGTAATGAAATGGCTTGTCAGTACACTTGTAAACTGTCACTCTTTTGATGAATCCCTGTGAATGGTTTAAGGGAGGATAGCTGTAGTCATAATACGTAAAATCATTGGTCATATAGACATATTATTATTATAAGTATTTTCTTGCAGCCGAGATTTTGCATTGGCTTCACTGGTTTCAATAACTGAAGGATTGTGACTAGGGTTGTAAATGGATCGGATATGGACCGGATCTGCCTATATCCGATCCGATAAGAATGATTATCCGATCCGATAATCCAACGGATATTTGATTGTTAAATCCATATCCGTTTTGCTATGTTTTCGGATATCCAATCCGATAATCCAATCTGAAATTAAAGAAATTTGGTAAAAAAAATAACGTTGGAATCAACTTTTATTATTATTATTATTATTTTCAATTTTTCCAATTTTTAAACGGGTTAAATAATTATAAAATTTTTAACTTTTTTATGTTTTGAATTTGATGATTTTTTTATTATAAATTTATTTTCTCATTTATTTATTTTAGTCACAAATAATATGCTATAAAAATATTTTACTGACTCAATTATTTATAACAAATCGGATCGGATTGACCTATATCCATATTTGATCAATTTAGTTAACGGATTATCGGATTCGGATTTTAATCGGGTTATCGAATTGAGACTTTGAATTCATCTCCCATTAATTTCATCGGATTCGGATAGGATTCATATCAAAATACAATCCATTGACAGCCCTAATTGTGACAAAGTTGAGCTGCCCTTTGTTCTTGCTGCTAGTACAAAATATTCCTGATAATGAAATTGACTTGAGGTGCAGGTCTTCTTTAACCCTGAGATTTATAGCAATGATTTTATAACCCCTTTACCGGAGGTGATAGACAAATGTATTCAGTCTGCTCCTATAGATACAAGAAGGGCCCTGTATAAGGTGACATGATTCATTTTATGAATTACATGCACAACTTGTTTCCTCTGGTGCTTCATTTTATTTTGTATATTTCTCTTTTCTTTGAAAAATAACGAGTAACATGCATCTACATATATATTCAGAATATTGTATTATCTGGAGGATCAACCATGTTCAAGGACTTCAACCGAAGACTGCAACGGGATCTAAAAAAGATTGTTGATGCTCGGTTTGAATTATCAGATGCTCGGATTCGTGGAGAAGTGAAAGTGAGAACATAACCGATATTGTGATCATACTTTTGAGCTAGTTTGGCCTTTATCGTTAGTACATCAATAATTGCTGACTGAACGATTTTTTTTTTTTAATTCCCAGGCACGACCAGTGGAAGTGAATGTTGTCAGTCATCCCATCCAGAGAAATGCAGTTTGGTTTGGAGGCTCAGTACTTGCATCTACTCCTGAGTTTTTCAAGGTATTCAAATTTAAACTTCTATTTTCAGTCTTCTTCTTTTTCTTTTTGGGATGATTACAATGCTAAATATTCTAGATTAGCTGACCCTTGAACCCTAAACCATCATTGGTGCATTAGTTGACTTGAAAATATTTTGTGGCCATCTTTAGTGATGAAAGCTTATGGACATGCTACAAGTCTGTTTGCAAAATTTCTTTAGTATCAATTCTGGGCTGTTTGCACCCCAAATACATTTCGATATTGGTAATGCTTAGTTTTCGAAACAGGTTAAATTATACCGATAGTGCAAATTGTAAGTGTCCTATACTTGTAAGGAATAGAAAACAAACTCTCTTTTTGTCTGTTGCAATTCTGTATCTGATAATATCTCCTTGAGTTTTTCTGTTTCAAGGGTTGATGCTCACTATTGACTCTGTTGCAGTTGTCCTCATTGACCTCTCCAAATAACAAAAATAAAAAGCTAAACTATCATTGGAGTGATTCTTTTAAATTGCCCCCCCATTTTTGATAAGGCATATGTTTGGCCTCCATTCTTCCAAAAACTCATTTTATCAAATCTTATTTTCAATCATACATTCTCCCATAAAATAATTTTACATGTAAACTGAAAACTTTTTCTTATTTTTTAACCCCACATTCTCCAAAAAAATCACTATTTCCAAATACATTCCTCCCAAAATGGATCTCAAACAGGGGCAATATTCCCTTGTAGCAGAATAATATAACATATATACTTTATTAAAAGTTGAACTATCAAGATTTCCGTAACTGACTTTGTAACCGGAGTTTTGAGGTTTTAGGTAATTTGTCTTGTTTGAATTCTATGATATGCTACTTAAATAAGAAAAGAGTGTTCCTTCCGTCCACTGTATACATCCCCTTTACAGTTAAATTTAGTGACATCTGTAGATGCGACAGCTAGAATGGATTTTGTTCACTGATACAGTGAGTGGTAAATTGCACTTACTTTTCTCAAGATAGAACATATTTTCATTTATATATTTATTTTGATTATGCACGTCACATTGTACAACTGATTGTAGAATCTACGACCATATGGAGTTCAAGTGTAACAAAGCCCAGTCCATACATCTCAACTATAGTTCTATGTACTAAAGAGCTTAATGTATCATTAATGACGTTTTTTTTTTTTTTTGGTCCTTGTTACTTAATCCAACACTTGACATAGTTTTGAATCGTAATTTTGGGTACTGGACCAATATTTTGTGCTGTACACAGGCTTGCCATACCAAGGCAGAGTACGAGGAATATGGAGCAAGCATATGCCGTACAAACCCTGTTTTCAAGGGAATGTATTGATACGAAGATCATTTGAATTGAAAAGTCGGGAGGGCATTTTTGTCAGGATATTTAGAAACGAAACACGATGAATCCCATTTCCAGCGCGTGGCTGAGTTGACGTCTGCAAATGCCTCGATGTATTTTTACAGGTTAGGTTGTCGGAGGAGGCAGTGTACAATACATTTTCTGTCCGAATTGTAAAGACGTTGATCATGTATTCTTTCAGTAGGAATCAACAGTTCTTCCAAGCTCAGGGGTGCGGATGCTACTGTATTTCGTTGGACAAGTTGGCATTTCTGCATCAAATTATTTTCATCAATTTAATTGTTCAGCTTCAGTGAGGTTTGATATGAATGTTTCGTTTAGGGAAGAACAATAAATTTATGCTTCACTTAGGATTTTGATGTTTGGATTGGTTAAAGTGTAGTGGAAAATAACCATAATTCATTAGAAAATTATTATAATTATTATTTTTGCTTGCTGAATTCCTTAAAGCTTACACAATTTATCATTACAGTGTTAAGGAATTTTATATAATTTTCAGTTATGACTTGTATCTTGATTCTTGAATTGTATCATGAGTTAATATATCTGGTTTAAGCAAATTGTAGTTCGTGACAATATTGATAACCTATAATGGCCATAACAGCATTAGTATAAAAATCCATAAAAATTGAGTGCGGCAGTAGGGTATTACTAGGGAAGAAGTTTTTCCAGCAAAAACTACTCCCCGTCTTCGCTTTCCATTTTCAAAGCAAATACTGGTTAAATTCACCCATGGCCATTGTACTTTATATTTAACATCATCATTGTAACGATCCGACCTTGCGTTGGAGGCTTGGAGCTGTTATCATATCGTACGTATTGTCCGCTTTAGGAGAGCCTAGGCTCATCTTACCCCTTACGGATTTCTGACGCGTCCCTCATGATTTGAACCCTAGACCTCTATTATATGGGAAATTTAAGTTGAATCCTAGTACCGATTGAGTCTCCCATATGATGAAGATTTTTTTGTAATGATCCGATCTTGCGCCGGAACCGTTATCATATCGTACGTACCGTCCGTTTTGGGACGAGTCAGAAATCTGTGAGGGGTAAGATGGGTCTAGGCCCTCCCAAAGCGGACGGTACGTACGATATAATAACGGCTCCGGCGCAAGGTCGGATCGTTACAATCATGGCCACCCAAATTGATTTTGATTCACAATGGCCACTGTATTCTATGTTTAATGTGACAATGACAATCGAAATTGATTTTGATTTACCATAACTACCAAAGTTCATATAATGTTTCAATCAAGCCACCCAGTTATTATTACAACCAAAAAAAACACTAGAAAAATTCTGATTCTTTTCTTTTCTCTTTTTTGTTGTGGTAATAATTATGTGTGAATTTTTTTAGTGCGTGTTTTTTTTTTTTTTGTGATGGTTATACTCGGGTGACTTGATTAAAGCGTTATATGAAGTTAGATGGTCATAGTGAATCAAAATTAATTTAGATGGTTGTGATGACACTAAACTCCTAATTGTCTTCCTATAAAACGAAACTCTTTAATTTTCGTACTCAGAACCCCTTTTGAGCCTCATTTTTTTTTTTTTTGGTCAAAAATGTATTTTGGAATAGTAATTTGATGGAAAATGTGTGGTTAAAAAATAATGAACAAATTTGAATCTATGTATAATATTATTTTATTGAAAAATGTGTGACTGAATATAAGAGAAAAAATGTATTTTGAAAATAATAGAGACTAAAACATAATTTCATTTTCAACCATACATTATAAAATAAAATATTTTGCTCGTAAACTAAATTTTTTTTCCCATTTCTTAATTACACATTCTCCGAAAATTCCCTATCAAAAACTCTATTTTCTCAAAATAATGGTCATCAGACAAAACCTTAAATCACATATTTTCAAAACAATCACTATTCAAAACATATATTTTTTTTCTAAACAATGACTATCAAACGGAGATAAGTATAAACTATAGTGGTGTGGATTTAACCAATGGCCACCCAACTTTATACAAGTGTCATCATGCAGAGGCGAAAATAGGGGGGCGACCACCCTCCAACATTGTCCACTGGTCTACTATTCCTAATTAATTTGTAATGTATTTTTCAGTTTCGTCCCTTAAAAAATTTTGACTCGCCCCCACAAAATTTTGAATTTTTTCCATTAATAAATATTGACCTAATAACTTACACTTTAAAATTTAACCATACAAAAATCTTAGACCTAAACAAAAAATCCAATATTTACTTAAATAAATAAATCGCCCAAATCCAATCCAAAAGCAAATGACTCATATATGAATCAATTACCAAAAAGCATACCCACATGCCACAGCCCACAAAATGTAATCTTCTTGATAGATTGATTCGTCTTGTCTTGACTCTTCCGTTTCAACGGCAACTACAGAGTGTGCATTTTCAGCTATGAGTATCATTAAGACAAGGTTGCGTAATAGAATGGAAGATGATTTTTTGTCCAGTACCATGCTTGTGTATATGGAGAAGTAGATTGTTGATACTTTTCCATTAGATTCTCTTATTGACTAGTTTGAAGTGATGATGATAATGAGAGACCAATTTTAGATGTCCAAGCCATCTCTATCATCTGTTATATAGATAGGCAGTTTACTTTTTGTCTTTTTGATGTTCATCTAACGTTCATGTTTTCAATGTGTATAGCGTTAGACACACAGATGGACATATTATTTTTGTATCGATAAATTGATTGTTTTTTTGGTCAATCAATCTAACTTGCCTATTTTGGTACTCAAAATCATCATTTTTAATCCTCTTAGTTAAAAAAAAATAAATTCGAGGGCTGAAATCCTAGCTACGTCCCCGTTACCATGGTCATTTAATTTGATTCTGTTTCACCATGACTACGCAATTTTATACTTATGTCACCATAGCCACCCAATTTGATTTTATTTCACCATAGCCGCTCAATTTCATATAACGTTTCACCATAGCCACTCAATTTGATTTTATTTTACCATAGCCACCTAATTTCATATAATGATTCACTATAACCACTCAATTTCATATAACATTTCACCATGATCACTTAATCCATTTTCACCATTTTCAATAATTTTAAAATGGGTAAAACAGTAACTTTGTATTATATATAAAATAAAATTTAAAAAATAAAAGTTTTTTTTTAATTTTAAAAAGGTTTATTTTAAAATATGTTTTTTTTATGTAACATTTTTTTAAAATATTTTTTTATTTTATTTTGTTTTGTAAGGAACTTTTTTTAAAAAAAATAAAATTGTATTTTATTTTATTTTTCTAAGTAACTTTTTTTTTTAAACAAGTTTTTTTTATTTTATTTTTTAAGTAACATATTTTTTAAAATAATTTTTTATTTTATTTTTCAAGTAACCTTTTTTTAAAATAACTTTCTATTTTTTTTTCTAAAATAAGTTTTTATTTTAATTTTTAAAATTATTATATATATATATATATATATTAGTGAAATGGTGAAAAGAAGTCGGATGATTATGGTGAAACATTATATGAAATTATGTGACATAAAATCAAATTAAATAGTCATGATAAAACAAAATTAAATTGAGATCATGACACCACGTATAACGTTGGGTGGCCATTGATCAAGAAAGAGTATTCAGATCCCGTACAAGATCCGTTAATCTTGACCTAAAATACAGAGCACACCACAAAATGTGAAATGGCGTTGGCGTTCGATGAGTTTGTTAGGCCATTCATGATACTAAAGGAGCAAGAGCATAGGACCTGATTGAGAGGGCCATATGCTCAAAAGTCTAACATTTCGGTCGGCAAAGCTGTGGCTCGGATTCTCTGAACCTCGCTCGGCCCCAAACGAATGGACAAGATTCTCCAGAGCCCCGACGGTGAGGTCACTATCGGTACGTTCATTCTTTTTTCACCCTTTTGTTCCCTATACATACTGAACGTAATTTGCGTGTAATGCTATTTTTAGTGATTCATAGGGTATTTGAAGCATCGTTGAGGTTGTTTTCATGCAAATTACATTGTGTACTCTTGAGAGAATCCAATATATTTAAAAAAAGAGATTCGCTAACATTTGCAACTAAATATTAAAGCAGCGACATGCCAATATAGAAAAGAAAAAGTAATTAGATGTTGATAGTGATTTGATGAATATAGTTACTTTTTAAAATTGTACTAGAGATGTATTTAGAGTGGAATGAATAGATAAAATTTTTGTGGATCTATAATGTTAAATGAATGAATTTAATAAGAAAAACATTAGAATTTGACGTGGAAGAAAATAGTAATTTTTTAAATATTAATATTTTAGAGGGATAAATATATAAAAATTGTTGATGTAAATAGATGTATCCTAAATTTAATGATCAACTTCTTTTATTCCATAAATACTAACTTATAGTAGTAAAATATAAAAAACAAATAAGTTTCCTTCATCCCCCAATTTACGGTCTAGAACGAAAATTCCATAATCATCCCAAAATAACAAGACTTTTCAAGCAAAATGAGAGACTAATTCATCTTCATTTCTGTTTTTATTTTCTACTTTTCTGTTTTTAGTTCTAATGCCCTTCGAAACCCCTACACGTAAAGCGAAAATCTCATTATCTTTGCTGATTTATCAATGTTTTATAACCCGACATGTACATTGACTTGGAAGAGTTAAAGGGTCAAGTGGTTCGACCATAATCGACAGGTGGTAAGAAATTATTGAATATATATATAATGATTTACTTACTTTTTAGATATGATTATTTTATACTTATTAATTTTTAATAGTTATTTAATAAATAACTAAAAAAATATATTTAAGAATATATAAAATATCAATTTTTTATAGTTATTTTGTACTTCAAGTATGTTTGGTAGATATATTAATTTTAGGGAAGAATACATAAATCCTGGTTTTAGTTATACACATTTCAAAATTAAGGCCCTGTTCGGGAGTGATTAAAATCCAATTAAAATTGAAAATATGGCCGTTATTGGGTCCCACCCGTCTAATAAA